TTTCCTTCAGCTACGTTTAGTTACACGGCATGTGACGGCAGCGTCTGCAGCGAAGGGGGGGGGAACTGACAATTCAAACTTGCCGGCCCGACTGGCATAACACAACATCTTAGCGCTACAGGTGCTTGAGAAAGGGCAAGCCCTACTCGCTTGCCTGGCTATCCATAGTTCGCAATTCGAGGACCCCGCTGATCTCGTCATAATCGGGTCAACGTTCTACATATCTGAAAAAAGGGCCAACTTGTGATAGAAACGGCTCGGGTTCCCAGTGCGCGTGTCAGGGCGCTCGGGGCGACGGCTCAGCGCGCGGCGCATGCTGCCCCATCATGAAGCAGGTGATAGCGCGCATGGCCAATTCCAAAGATGGATCCCACGGTGAGTTGCGCATTGGACGGGTGGTCGCGACCACGAACGTGCGCCCCATATGCATGTGCGCATTCATGGACAGGGCCCGATCTGTCCATCACGTAGCCGCAAGCATGACACGCAACGAGCGCCCCGAGAATCGAGGGCGCCACGAGCCCAACATCATGCCGCCCAAGAGCCTGGAATGCCCGGTGCGCTTGGAAGAGCTGTCATCCGTGGTCAGCTATCTCGAGCGCGCCGAGACCCACCTTCGACTGCGTCTGCCCCCCTCCTTACAATCCCGAGGAGCAGCCAGAACCGCCCATGGCCGGCCAGAACATAGGGGGGGGCAGGCTCGGAGAAGGTTCCAACGCAGCGCACGAAGCCTTCAACGTCGCGGCCCCCGGGCGGCAAGAAGGGCGAAAGCGGCGCGGGCGACAGGGGCGGCGAGCTCAAGCGGCGCCGCCAGCAGGCGGAGATGGAGGACGAGGAGGAGGAGGACGAGCAAGAGCCAGGCCCGCTCCGAAGCCCGGCGTGCCAGCTGTAGGCCAGGGCGAGGGCAGTCGAGCACGCGGGCTTCACCGGCGTGTTGCTGCATCGCAGCCGCCCGTGCATAGCAGAGAGCAACGCCGCGTTCCGCGGGTTCCTCGCCCGCGAGAAGAGCCATCCAGAGGACGACTGCGGCGCGCAAGCGTGGCGGAGTGTTTTCGCGATTCTTGACGTTTTGAGCAACTGCTCGCACACGGCTGCTTCGCAGCGTCGGGCAGCCCGCGGGATGCGCATCGCCTGATTGATGAGATGACAGAGTTCGGGGGCCTGCCGCAGCGAAGACATGGATCGCGGAGATGGTAGCGAACCCCATTTTCGACCGGCCTGGCGCCAGGCAAACCCCAGAAGTCACGCCATACTTTGAACTTGAACAAGACTCTCGCGACGACAACACGGCCGACCACGAGAAGCTGATGGCAGCGTTCGGGAGCGGGGGCGACGCAGGCAAGCAGACGAGCCCGACGGAAACGCCGACCGCGATCCCCAGTCTGCAAAGTAACATGATGGACGTCAGCCTCCTGCTCGCCGAGTTGACGCGCGGCGGGCGGCCGCCACCTGGCCATCAGGGCGCCGCGCGGCAACGCGGCCAGGAAGACCAGCGGCAGCAGGGGCAGGATGCGGGGAAAGTGAACGCCACATTTCATCGTTTCCTGCCGCCGCCGCCAGGGTTTGAGAGCGTGGGCAGCGCCGCGCTGAGTAGAGCCCCTCCGATTCCTCACCCTCAACGCCCATTCGGATCCGCCTCGTCAGTGGTGTGTCTGAACGCCCCCGTCCCTGCGGATCCCGATCCCTTCGAAGCTGATGAGGAGGCTGCCAGAGGCACGCGCACGCTGTAGCATATGTGAACAAATTGTCAGCAGAGCGGCCCGGTCACGACGCGTCTAGATACACAGACTCATTTGGTTTCACAGGTTTGTTCGGGGTTTTCCGCCGAGGAAGTATTACGTTTTCCGGATCTTGATCACCAGTTAGTTTTTCTCAATTTCCTTGGATTTTGTGGGCGTTTCACATCGGTGCACTCTGTGCGGGCGCCAACAGGAAGCTCGTCCGCCCGTGCCCCACACCGCTACGCGGGCACGGCAGGCTCCATAGCGAAGTGGAGCGAGGGAGGGGATGAATCGATGGCTCTTTACCCGACCTGAAGCAGATGAGACCAGTCATGGATTGTTGCTTGCATGGGGCCGACACGGAAACGAGACTCCTCCTCCTTTTCCTCGTCCTTTTCTTCCTTCTCCTCCTCAGGGCGAAGGCGTCTGGCCGGCGGTCGCCAGGTGGGAGGCGTGGTCTGGCAGCGGCCGCGCTCTTGCCCTCCGCCCGCCAGGTCGAGGCACCTTCCCCAGCCATTGGGCGCTGTGTCCAGAAGAGGGGGGCTTCCAGGATGGGGGCATAGTGACTGCGTGCCGGTCGTTGGGAGCAGGTGTTCTCCCAGGCCCCCAGAGACCAGGACACCGATGAACCAGGACACAGAAAAACCTTAGCAAACAGCACCCGTTCCTTCAAAGTCAGGTCTCCCGCGCCCACCCATACGATCTTCACAATTGCGGTTTCCACGGTGACTCAATCGCGCAGGCTTCGGTGCGGCGGCATGTGTTACAGTCGGCCTGGTCGGGAGCGTCGGGCCCTTCCTGGGTGCCCAGATCCCAGTCTACCACGAGTGCGCCTTCCTACTTCGGGAAGCGGCATGCTTTTGCTGTGTTCTGTTGCTCGTTGGGAGGGCCTGGACCCAGTCTTCTTTCTCCGCCCTCTTATTTTGTGTTTTTACCCTATCCTGTCGACTGACGCGTAGTGGGGAGAGGATATCACGGCGGGGGCCACACATCTCCCCAGATATATCGCGGCCCTCATTTTTTTTCAATGCGCTCTGGGGCCCATGCCTCATCCGCGCACGTGCCTCGGGACATGATTTGCGAACCCCCCCTCTCGGACGCCACCCATCCTTGGCCGCCCCCAACAGGGAAGCGCCCCAAACATCCGAGGCATCCCAGTCCCGACCCTCTCCTCAGGACCGGCTGTCTACCCCGAAGCGTCTCGGGGCGGCCCGGGGGCCCGGCGGGGGCCCTCCGAGGCCGAAGACACGGCCCGCACTGTTCCATCATAGTTTTGTACCCACGACGCGAGCATGCTTCGGCTTGCGCAGTACAAGTCATCGAGCACAGAAGAACCCCCAACCCTGATAGCACGATGAAGACGTGGCCTCATTGTGAAGTCCCCGTCTCCGCATTCGGGGTAATAATGCTGGGCGGTTTGGTCTGATTGATTTGCAGAAGAGGACCCCACTCCCTCATGTTCTTGGCCCTCCTAACTCAGGTCCCCTCCCAAAGGGTAGGGGTCCTTTTTTGGCTGATGCCGGCCAGCGCTCGGCAGAGGGTGCGCCGGGGCATGGGGGCGGCAATGCCTTCCAGGAAGAGGCAGGGTGTATGCACGTGGCGCGGCCGCGCCTGGGCTCGAACGGGGCCCGAAGCTCAGGATCTTGCCGTGTTGTTGGGGCGCGGACGGCCTGCTGTGTGTCGCGCACAAAGAGGCCCCTCGGTGCGCGCAGTCGACGTGCCGCGTGCCGCGCGCCAGGTGCGGCGCGAGGTCTTCGGCCCCCGTGGGCGGATGTCGGGCCCGAGGGTCAAACGTGTCTTCGGGGCGGAAGAGTGTTGCGCCGCGGATTCAACGAAATACCTCGATGTCAGGGCACGCGCGTGCGTAGCCAGAAGGAGAGAAAGGGGGAGGAGGAGGAGGAGGAGGAGGAGGAGGAGGAGGAAGAGGAGGAGGAGGAGGAAGAGGAGGAGGAGGAGGAAGAAGAGGAGGAGGAGGAAGAGGAGGAAGAGGACGAGAGTAAGTTCAGGATGCACCAACGATGCTGCAACGCACGCTCCCGTCCAATGTCCCCTCGTCACAAGTCCTTTCAAGCCTTCTTTTCCACTTGCCTGCCATTCGGGCGAAAAGTCCCGTTTCGAAAGAGGAGTTGGTGACCTCGCATCACGAGCAAATATGATCCATACATATCCGCGAGGTGTCGAGCGACATTTTTTTAAGTTTTGGGGGAAAATCAAATTGGCCTGATCTGTGATACTCTTGACCAGTTGTTTGTCATTATTGGTCATGGCGCTGAAAACAGTTCAAGGACATGCCCCACTGTGAAAAGGAGCCGCCATCCATCCGTGCACGGATACCGTCTGTTCAAGTGTTTTGCCCCTCGAATTCGCACAAGTCTCAACCGAACGCAAATGTTTGAACATGGTTTGCCTTCCATACGTTCTGCTGTTGCATCTGTTGAATTCTCTGGATTCAAACTCCAAAGATGTCTCAAACGAAATCTGCACTTTGAAAAGGATGCGCCGACACTTGATTTAACTGTTGCCAGCTATGAGTTCGACTGTGCGGGGCGCAAAGGCGAAAAGCCTATGTTGCACAACGATTTGCATTCAATCATGAGACCGGTTGCAAGCATTTAACACGAATGCGCGCTGCGCGAAGGCGAGAGCCTCGTGCTGAAAAAGAGCCGCCGTCCATCCTTGACACTGCTGCAACCTTGAAGATTTTCGTGCGCGTTGCGAGGGCGATACGTCCATTTTGAAAATGGTTCCCCCTCCATCCTTGAAGCCATTCAACTCTGATGGCAACTGGTCGCGGCGTTGCCCCAGAGCCACATGTTGAAAAACACCCCATCCATCTTTGAGGTTGCTGCGAACTTCAAACATACACGTGCTTACCGCTCAGGCGAGAGTCCCATTGTGAAAACGATCCTCCCTCCATCCTTCAAGCAGCTGCAGATCTCAAGCCTCAGGATTATAAGCAGTCAGGAGTTCGTGGGCGAAACGCCCGGCCCGCCCTGCCGACATGCCTGGGGCTGCGACAGGGCGGAGTCTGTGAATAAGGAAAAGATGGAGGAGGGCTGCTCCACGGATCACCTGCCCGCATCCTGGATGCCCTCAAGACGAGGAGAAGCAGGAGCGCGGAGGGAGGAGGAGTGAGGGAGAGGAGATCGGAGGGAGGCGGGAGAAGGAGCGAGGGGGAGGAGAGGGAGGGAGGAGGAGGAGGGAGCAGGGCAGGACGAGGGAGGAGCAGGAGGGAGGGGTGGGGAGGTGCCGATCCGAGTCGTTCCACCGGCTGGCGAGAGCCAGCAAGGGAGCGGCTGGCGCCGCGCGGCCAATGCCAAGCAAATCCCCGCCCCGTCGGCGCGGCCTTGCCGTGTGCGGCCGGGCGCCTCTCAGCCTCGGGGAGAGGATCGGGGGCGACGAAACGGGCGAATAGCCTGCTCCTCCTCCTCTTCCTCCTCCTCCTCCTCCTCCTCCTAGAGGTGGAAGGATAGGAGGAGGAAGGACAATAGAAGGAGGAGGAAGGATAATAGGAGGAGGATGAGGAGGAGGAGGAGCGGCAGGAGGAGGAGGAGGAGGAGGAGGAACAAGGAGGAGGAGGGGCGGGCATTGCACGCAATCGCCTGGGAGTCTCGCCGAAGGCATGGACCATCGGCGCCCTTGGATGCACGTATTGCTCTCCCCTGGCCTATTCGCCCCCATCGTCGCCCCCGAGAGGAAGCAGGAGCGTCACGAATACGAGCCCACGATCCAAGACCTTGGAGCCGGCTGCGGGGCCGAGGTGGCCCAGCACTGGCTCTGGCCAGCAGAAGAGACCGTGCCCCCCTTGTCGCCACGGCTGGGCGCGGCTCGAACTTTGTTCAGTTTCGACCCTGGGAGGGATCCGGAGACCGACTTCGAGCGGATTTACCTTCGCTCCCCCCTGTGGGCAGATTTTATCGGGGCCCATCCAGCACAGACCCCCCGGCTGCTTCCAAGCCACACCTCCAACGTCCGAAGGGGAACAACACACGGCGTGAACATAAATTGTCGAAGCTTCGCGCGGATTTCTTGAATTTGCGCAGGGCCCCCCAAGGCGGCGCCTGCGAAGCCGCCCCTGGCGCGCTCCGTGCGCCATGGAGGGGGGCCCAGCACCGATCCAATACATTCGCGCGGACCTCTGACAGTTTATGTTTATGCCGTGTTTTGTTATTGACTCCAGCCTCTGGAAGAGGAAGAAGTATCGCCACGAACATGAATCCGGGACTTAGGGGGGGATAGGCTTATGGCGCACGGCAGGCTCGAGGTTCGAGGTTCTTGTTGGTTTCCGTTAGTGCTCGGCGGTTTCCCAGCTTCGGGGTGTTCTCGAGCGGCTGCGCCTCTCCGAGATGTCCCCGAGCATCGACCCCTAATTGCCCATGTATCGCCGATATGGGCCCGGTAGCCAAAACCCTCCCAGGAGCGTTCGGATTTGAAAGCTTCGGGGGCCAAACGCCGATCTATCGGCGATGCATCGTCGACTCCAGATCGATGTTCCTCGTCTGAGCCTGTCCCGACCTAACGTTCTGCCTCAGCCTCGGGGAGAGGAAGGAGTCACGAACATGAAGCCAGGCGCCCAGACCTCCAACGTGTTGAGAAATCAAGGTGGAGGTCTTTTTCGCCGTGGTCGGCCCTCTTTGTGGGCCCTCGCTAGGCCCAGGGACCGTCCAACTCCGATTCAGGGCGAGAGACTTGCCCTTTGGACATGGTCAGAATTTCGGGAACCTTGTTTTAAACAGATGGTACATCGGATACCTCGGGTTGTGATGTTCCTAGGTTCTGCGTCAGGAGACCACTTTCGGGGCCCAGGACCGTCAGACATCGGCCCGTGATTGAACACCTGCCCGGAGACACCCCGCGAGGGGTCCAGGGAACGATGTTGATCGGATTGCGTTGACTGGAAAAACATGGGGAAACCCTTTACTTTTGTCTATTTACATGTGTGCCCTGGCCCTTGGTCTCCTTTCTGGATGAGCTATGCGCCGGGCAATCCGCGCGGAGCGGCCCTGTATCCGTGGAGTCGTGGCCGAGGGGTCTGGACCGCGATGGCGTGGATGCGGATACGGTCGGGGTCTGTTGGAGAGCGTGTCGCTCCGCCGGTTCTGGCCCACCACGCTCCGTCGCGACACGCTATCCACTTCCCCAGTGCTCAGGCGTCTACGTCCCGAGCCTTTCCGGGTCTTCCGCCGCGGAGCGGATCGCTTGCAGGGCATGGCGTGTCGTTGGGGCCGCCGTGGCGACACGCTAAGCAACAGTTCCTGGCCGCATGAGCCCCACGAGCGAGGTGGCGTGGATGCGGATGTGCCCCGCCTAAGAGAGGGAGCCAGATTTCACTGCAACAGGGGGGAAGAGGTGGGATGGAAGGAGGATAAGGATGAACAGGAGGAGGAGGAAGAGGAGGAGGAGGGGGGAGGAGGATCAGGAGGAGCCGGAGCAGGAGGAGGAGGAGGAGGAGGAGCAGGAGTAGCAGGAGGATGGGAACCGCAGAGCCCTGTCGGCCGTTCATCGGTGCATGCCCCTGGCCAGCAAGTTGGGACGGTTCTTGCAGTGTTGTGGGGTGCGGTACGTCACACGAGACTTGCGGTCATTAGGACACAGGAGGAGGAGAAGAAGGAGGAAAGGGGAAGGAGGGCTGAAGGAGGGCGGGGATGAGGGGTGAGGGGGCGGGAAGAAATTGGGAGAAGCAGCAGCTTCAGCAAGAGGAGGGGGGAGGATGAGGAGAAGTGGTATTGACGCTGCGATGCTCCGCTCACCCAAAACATCCGATTCAAAAGAGGAGGAATAGGGCTCAGTACCCAGACATCCGACGTTGTTTGTTTTTTTCACTCCGCGGCCCCAAAGATCCTAACCCCTTCGCTTCCTCGTGCAGCTCCTCACGCGAACGCCCTGCGACGACGTGAGGCGGAGACGCCATGATGAGAGAGAGCGGTTGGAGCCGGCTGGGGGTCTGAGGTGGCCCAGCATTAATCCTTTCGAGCAGGGAGGGGTGACAGGATCGAGGGGCTGGGTTCGATTTTTGTTGCTTGTTTGTTTGATTTTTTCTGCCTCCGGGGGCCATTTCGGATCCCGGGACCGTCAGAATCGGATCCAGAGTAGAACATTGCACCAGATGGGCCCTGGGAGGAGTGTTGGGACCGATTTTGACAAATTTTGCATGGTCCCCCTCCTGACCGATTTTCTGGGGTCGCAATCGGACATCCCGGCCGCCTCCAACCTGCGACGACATGACGCGGACTCGCCATGAGGAAAGAGGGGTCCTGAAGGATTCGTGTCCCGAGGTTTTTCACCGCTCTCGGATTCCTGGGGCCCTTCCGAGCCCCGGGGCCGCCAAACACAACTGCATCCAGAGAACTCCGCACCAAGCTGCGATTCCTTGGTGGGAGCGTCCTGGCAAAGGCTCTCGTCCACGCGGAAAGGGGTGCGGAGAGAGGAGGGAGGGCTTCTTAGAAGCACCCCTGTTTCTTAGAACGTAGATGTATGGCCAGCGCCTTCTAAGAAGCAGCCTTCTTCAACTAAGAAGCCTTCCCCCCTCCCCCATACCCCCTTGTGCGCGCCGCCAAGGCTTAAGACGCCCCTGGCCTCCAATCCCACGCGCTGGCCGTGCACCTGGCAGTGCCACAAAGGGTGGCCCCCGTGTAGGCGCTGCTTGTTTTTTTTGCCTACGGGCAGGCGCCGGACTCCAAGGGTCCCAGGCTGCCTCGCGGCCAGGCGCAACGTTGAGGGGGGACAGGCCCAGGGGGTAACGCATCGACCCCTTTATCGCCCGTTCATCCGCGATCGGCGCCTGATAGCAAGCCCGCCCCGCCCAGGAGCGTGGAGTGGTGCCATCGGGGGCCTCTCGCCGATTTATCGGCGAGTTTCCCTCCGCTGAGCTGGCCCCCTGGTGGTTTTCGGGTCCTTTCTCAGGCCGCTGGCGGCCGTTTGGGACGATCCAGGAGCCCCCCGGATGGCCCCCACTCAGCGGTGGGGTGAGCGAGGCCCTCGGGCATTCTGGGGCTTCTGTGAGCCTTTCTTTGGGCGCCCACGATGCGCCTGCACCTTTGGGCCTCTTCGGAGGCTCTTCGTGGGCATCGTTTCTCGGGGGCCCTTCGTTCGGCCTCGCCTGGGCAGAGCCGGGCCTCCTCTGGGCATCTTTGGCCGCCGTTGGGTCTGACGCTCCTGGAGCTGGCCTCCCCCTCTGACGTTGCCACCCCAGCTCCCGCGGGCCTCTCGGCCCTCCGCGCCGCCGCCGCCGGCTGGCCCGCAGCACGCGCCCCCGCGGTGCCCGGCCTGGGCCTCGGAGCCGCGGCCTCGGAGCATCGGCCTGTGAGGAGCCGCGGCCGGGCGCGCCGGAGGGGGCGAGCGAGGGGGGGGCGCGCCTGTCCTCCTCCTCCTCCTCCTCCTCCTCCTCCTCCTCCTCCTCCTCCTCATCCTCCTCATCCTCATCCTCATCCTCATCCTCATCCTCATCCTCATTCCTCATCCTCCTCCTCCTCCTGCTCCTGCTCCTCCTCCGCTGCCTCCTCCTCCTCCTCCTCCTCCTCCTCCTCCTCCTCCTCCTCCTCCTCCTCCTCCTCCTCCCCCTCCCTGAGCTCCAGGGGCCTCAGTTTCTCCAGGCCCCGGAGCCCTCTCGCGTCGAGCTGGCCCGAAGAAGGCGCGCAGACAGGTCTGGTCCAGGGTTCCGGAGCCGATCGTCGTATTTACCATGGTTCGTTCTTTTCTGCGCCGTCGGATCTCAGGGGCTCTTTCCCTTTTCCTTCTCGTCCTCCTCCGCCTCCTCCTCTTTCCCTCCTCCTCCTGTTCATCCTTATCCTCCTTCCATCCCACCTCTTCCCCCCTGTTGCAGTGAAATCTGGCTCCCTCTCTTAGGCATTTCTTTGTACATCAATTCTTCCATGTCGCACCCCGAGACGGGTCTGCTGTAGCGCGGGCTGAGCGTGTCGCTTGAAATGTTCTCACCTGTTGTGACCCTGAAGCTTGATATTTGCAGCAGTTCCACGGATGGAGAGCGGGTCGTTTTCCAAAAGAACTTCTCATTTTAGCGCCGCGCACATTCGTCGCAAAACTTGTAAGAGCTTCGCGGATGGAGGGCGGTCCCATCTCAACATGTAGTCTTCGTTTCGACGGCTACGACTACGACTACGAGTATGACGATACGACTACGACTACGACGATTGTTGATTCTTATATTACGGCTACGAATATTAATACTACTGCTACCACCACTGCTACTGTTGCTACGACTGCTACTACCACCAGTACTACTACTACTACTACTACTAATAATAATAATAAGACTACTACTACTACTACTACTACTACTACTACTACTACTACTACTACGACGACTACTACTACTACTACTACTACGACTACGGCTACGACTACGACTACGACTACGACTACTACTACTACTACGCTACGACTACTACTACTACACTACTACTACTGATACTACTACTACTACTACTACTACTACTACTACTACTACGACTACTACTACTACTACTACTACTACTACTACTACTACTACTACTACTACTACTACTACTACTACTACTACTACTACTACTACTACTACTACTACTACTACTACTACTACTACTACTACTACTACTACTACTACTACTACTACGACTACTACTACTACTACTACTACTACTACTGCTACTGCTACTGCTACTGCTACTGCTACGACTACTACGACCACTCCGTCTACGACTACTATTACTACTACTTTCATCTCTCGCGCGTCTGCTCAAGAGGAACGAACTTTTGTCCTGGGGATGGGCGTTTTGGGCTTCGGACTTGTTGGTTACCACAGGCAACACACCACATCTGACAGGCAGTCTGTTAGGTCAGGAGACGCAGAGCCGAAACGCAGTGGCGTTTTGGCTTTCGGATTTGTTGGTTACCACATAGCCGGCACACCACATCTCACAGGCAGCCTGTTGGGTCATGAGACGCAGGGCCGAAACGCCTGGTCGTTTTGGCCTTCATATTTTTTGGTCCCACATCGACGACATACCACATCGCACAGGCAGTCTGTTGGGGAGGCGCGGGCCGAAGCGCACTTACGCAGGACGAAAGATTTTCCCCTGGAGGTGCAATTGGCGACGATGAGTAAGAAGTTAATGACCGAAACCTCCTCCTCCATACATTTATAACGGGGTAAACGAAAAGAAGGATCTGCCGATAAAAAAGACCGAACACGGATCCAACAAATCCGAAATCGGATCCACGCGGACGGAAGTCGGATCCACCGAAGCAAACGCCAAAGCCACAATTGGATCCGCCCGAATCTCACGGGATCCGACGGCGGTTATGTCGGCCGCCTTTTGTTTCAAGACTTTTAGCCGTCGTTGTGGGCCCAAGCGGAAACATCGTTCGTCCTGGGGATGGGCATTTTGGCTTTCGGATTTGTTGGTTACCACATAGCCGGCACACCACATCTCACAGGCAGCCTGTTGGGTCATGAGACGCAGGGCCGAAACGCATTAGCATTTTGGCCTTCGGACATGTTGGTTACCACATAGCCAACACACCACATCTCACATGCAGCTGGGTGGGCCAGGGGGCGCAAGGCCGAAACGGGGCGTTTTGGCCTTCGGACTCGTTGGTCACCACGTAGCCCACACCAAATCTCACAAACAGTCTTTTGGCGTTTTGGGCGTTTTGGCCTTCGGACGTATTGATTACCACATAGCCAGCACACCACATCTCACACGCAGCCTGCTGGGTCGGGAGACGCAGGACCGAAACGCACTAGCATTTTGGCCTTGGGACGTGTTGGTTACCACATAGCCGACACACCACATCTCACAGGCAGCCCGTTGGGTCAGGAGACGCAGGGCCGAAACGCATGGGCGTTTTGGCCTTCGGATTTGGTGGTTACCACATAACCGACACACCACATCTCACAGGCAGTCTCTTGGGTCAGGGAACGCCGGGCATAAACGCATGGGCGTTTTGGCCTTCAGATTAGTTGGTTACCACATAGGCGACACACCACATCTCACAGGCAGTTTGTTGGGTCAGGAAACGCAGGGCCGAAATGCACTGGCGTTTTGGCCTTCGGACATGTTGGTTACCACATAGCCGATGCACCACATCTCACAGGCAGTCGGTTGGTCAGGAGACGCACGGGCCGAAACGCATTTACGACGGACGAAAAATGTCCCTTGTGAGTTTCATATGGCTACGATGAGTAAGAAGTTAATGACCGAAGCCCCTTGCCCCGCATAATCTTAGCACGGGCGTTTTTTGGGGGCCCGCGGATCCGATGTCTTTGGGCTTCCCGTTTTCATTTAATATGTGTGTACGGGGTAAACATCAAATCCGCCGTAGAGAAAAAAAAGAAAAAAAAACGAACATGGATTAAGCAAATCCGAGATCGGATCCGCGCGGACGGAAATCGGATCCACAAAGGCAAACGCCCATACCACAATTGGATCCGCGCGAACTTCACGGGATCCGACGTCGGTTATCTCACGCGCGCAAGACTTCAAGCCGTCGTTCCCGGCCCAAGAGGAAACAACATTCGTCTTGGGGATGGATTGCGTAGCTTTTTTAGTTTTATAGCCACGGGGACGCGACTATTGTGCAATGTTCAAGGTTTTATGGTTTCGGGCACGCGAGTACCGCGTAATGTTCCAGATTGTTGTTTCGAGGACGCAGTTATTGCGCAAATTACTTGCTTCACGGCCTCGGCATCACAAATCTTGTATCATTTACCATGCTTTATAGCCACGGGAAAGCGAACCTCGCGTAGTTTACAAAACGATCATGTTTTCGGGGACGCGA